TTTGAAAAAATAATATAATATGGTTACTGTTGAAAATTGAGTAGAAGTTCTTATTGTTAAATTGAAATATATTGTTTGCTATGCTATAAGATCTCCAAATGTAATTAATTTTGTTGAAGCATATATTATTTTTCTATATATATGTTATCTTTATTGGTTTCCATAGTTAGTGAAGGTCAAGGAAATTCCAACTATCCATAAAATTGAATAAATCGATTTCAAGATCTTTAAGCTTGAAAAACTCTTGTATATTACTTGTTATTCTAAAATCTGTTCTTGGATTAAGTGTTGCATTAAAGTTATCCATTATTATAATCTTATAGTTTTTTCATAAATAGATCTGTAATAAGTTTGAAATCTTTTTCTATAGTTTATGGCTTTTCTTTTTATTACTGGGCAAGTATATTTGAGCAATCCATATTTTATGGCCTTTGTTTAAGAGATTAATTGCTATAAGGTAATCTTTAATTTTGTCTATTAATATTATATATTTTTTGATACTTCTATGAATCAGTAATAAGACTTTTGCATTTTTGGAATTGTTTGGCTTAACACTTGAAATACTTTTATAGTCTCTTTGATTTAGAAAGGTGGAGTATTGGTTTTTTTAAAAAAATTTTGTTTTGCATAGACCTAGGATATAAAGATGGGTCCCTAAATTAAAGGCAAAGATATAATTCAAATGTCCCTCACTATTAAAAAAGTTTTTTTTTAATATAAGGTCAAAAAAAAACCACCTACAAAGGTTTTTTGCAATTTAGGTCACTTGATCCAAATGTTTTTTGAATTATGTCTCTATTAAAGTAATGAATAAATAATTATATCCCTTCAAAAGGGACATATGAAGTTTTATATGCTAAATAGTTTAGGGATTCATTCTTACTAGGATATTAATTTTTCTTTGTAAAATTTCTATTATTAGATTAATTTGATTTGTATTACAAGTGATTTTTTTAATGTTATATACTGCTATTGTTATTTGTAATGTTTGAGTATCATCATTGTTGATTGGAAAAGTTAATATAATTTCTAATTTCTGATTTTTTAGAAATAGTGTTTTTTGATTGGATAAGAATTTTTCTATTTATAAGATACTATCAATATTGATATTTGTTACTGAAGAGAATAGGTATATTGTTGATATGAGTTGTGTAATGACAGTATTTGGATCTTTGATATTAATTGTGATTTTGACTAATGTGACTACTTTTAAAAGCAGTTGTATGATTTTTTTCAGTTATTATATCCTTTTTCTAATCAGTATAACTAGTCATTAATTTTTTCCAATATACTTTGGATTTGTTATTAGGTATCCTTTTTTTTTTCTGATTTACACTCCAATATTTTCTATTTAAATAAGTATTGTTGAAGATTTTGGTCTTAATAGGCTGACCTGTTTTGAAATTTAAAGTTTTCTCTTTTAAGATAATACTTGTTATATCTTTTTTTTCTATATATAAATATTTAGAATTTATATGCCTTATGTATTTGTTTTTTTAAAATACGATACTTACTTTGGTGATAGTTTTTGTGTTGTTTCTGTTACTCCATCAGGTCTTGTTTTTAAAGAGTTCCACATAAGACTTTAAGGTTTTATTTAAGTTTTTGTATTGGAAAAACCAAGGATAGCAAAGTTTCTTTTCTTTCCTAATTTGCTATTTGTAAGTATATAAACAGTTTTGATATTGAGGTGTTTGATTATATTTATTATTCTAATTACTGAGACATTCTTGTTTAGTTCATATAGTCTGATAGTAATAGTGTTATATTGGGTCAATATTTTAATATAATTTTGATATAATGTGATTCTATCATTACCATTTCCATTGGTATGGCCCATATTTTTTCTAGATTTATTAGAAGTATTAAAAATATAATTGTTACTGATTTGAAGTTGCTATTGCCATTTTCTATTTGTATGTTTAAGATTAAGCCATATTTGAATATGGCTTCTTTAAGTTTTTTGGTTGAAGATTTAGAAAAAATATTCATTATTATGACTTTTTCTTCTGCTATCTTTTTGTTTATAATGTTTTCATCTTCTGGGAGAAGTATATTATTTGTTTCTTTTTCATGAAGATCAAGATAATTATTTGGAATTTAAAGATCATTAATTCTTGCTTGTATTTTAGCATATTGCTATGTTTTTGAAAGTGTAACATTATTTATTTGTTTTTTTCTATGGCCTTGATTTGTATTTCTTTATGTGACAAAGAAACTCTTAAAAAATTAACCAAATTTTACAATTATTTCTTTCTGTTTTTGCCTTAAATTGTACTATATTTTATTCTGAATTGATATGGACTGTTATATTTTAAAAGCTTGAATTTGTTATGTTCAGTATTGTTTTCTTTAATAAATTCTTTGATATTTGTTTTGTAAGATAAAGTATTTTCTGTTTGTTTTAAGATGATAAACTTAAAATCTTCTTTTGCTTTTTCCAACTTGCTCAAATATTTTTTCATATTTTCTTTATATTGGAAATAAACAATATATTATTTATTGCTATTGATAAATGATATTTGTATAAGTTTATACTTGTCTTTTGATAAGTAAAGAAGGTTAACAATGTATTTGATTTGTTTTTCCTTGAAGTCTTCAAGTGTGTTTACTACAAATGCTCCTATTTTAAATTCACCTGATTTGTTGATGAAAAAGTGATTAGTAGATATATATTATCTGTTTTTTGTATAGTAATTTTATATGGTCATGATACAATCTCCTATTGATTGATATCTCCTCTTCATTTTCATCTTCAGATTCTGTTGTTATTTCTATTGTTATAAGATTTGAGACTATGTTCTCTATTGTTTGGAATTCATTATTTAAGTCTTATTTTATTTGCATGGTGTTTATTTATATTGCAATATTTGAAACATTAACTGATTCTACATATTCTTAAAAAAAGGATATTTGAATATTTTTCTTATTTTCACATATGTTTTCAGAAGTTTATTCATTTATAATAACTTCTCTTTTGACTATTTCTTGTTAATAGTTATGGTTACTGTTTTCTATCACAGGTTATTCAGAAGATAATAAATTTCCGGATCTTTGTTTTATAAATATTGTGGGTTTTAAACTGAATATAGAATATTTACATTTGGAATACTTGTTATGGATTTTTTTAACAAGTATCTGTTTAATATATTCATATCTAGTTAATTGAATATCCAGATTTGTTTAATGTATTTTTTAGCTAACATTTATTTTACAGCAGTATATCAGTTGATATTGAAAAGCTTTGCAATTATTACATTTATAACTATGATGTTTACAATTGCTCCTAAATCTGCCAACTTTAATATTATATTTGTTACACTATCTTTAATTAAAATACAAAATCACTTTTGTTTTTCTTCATTGTGATTATCTTTGATTGTTTTAAAATATTCTATTATTAGATTTTCTATTTGGATTAAACTGAAGTTAGCCATTGTTTTAAACTTTTGCTGGATTGACATATGTAAACTAACTTGTTTTGCTATTTGTTTTAGTACATGTTAATTTGCTTAAAACAGCTTGTTATATAGTATAATTATATCCTTTTCAATATATGAAGTTAAGATTAATATATGTTTTGTCAAAGAGTTTATAATATATTTGTTTTAATAAGTTCTAATTGTATTTTGTTATTTGATTTGTAATATTAATATATTTGTATTACTGCAAATCTTGCTTTAAAAGTAAGTTAACTTTAGTAAATTTTGGAGTTGTTATATATATATATTTATGTTTTTAGATTGTATTTGTTTGTTTGGTAATTGTTATTATTGTTTGATTTTGAAAAATATGTGTTTATGTTACAGTTAATCTTTGAAAGAAGATAATTAGTCTTTGATTTTTTATCTTTAACAAAAATTTGATCATATAATAGTTATTGTTTATATTTAAAAAATATTGATATTTGTATTTTTCTTTTCAATTACAGTAATGAAAAAGTCTTGATACTCTTCTAATTTTGTGTTGATATATAAGGTTGTCTGGTTTACTAGACGTGATTTGGTCAATATTAAGTCTTGTTAGTATTTAAGAAAATATTTAACCTGATGTATAACTATTTGACAGCTTGTAAAGTGTAGTACTAACTTTCTTCTTTAATTTTACTGTAAATTGTATTCTTTATTTTTCTTTTTTTTCCAGTAAGAAATCATAAATATTTGTCTATTATATTTGTTTTTCTTTATTTTCAAGAAGATATTGTAAAGTTTTTTCTTTTAATATTTTCTTTAAGTGTTTCTTTGAATGTTCTTAAGTATTTTTTAGTATTATTAAAAAAATTTTTTTTAGAAATTTTGAGATTTGCAAAAAAGAAAAAAATTTTTTTATATATAATAATTTTTTTAATATTTAATAAAACTTAACAAATTATATATATACTGTATATAATTAAAAAACTTATAATTTAAAAAATTAATAGTAATAAAATTATAATTCAAAAAATTTAATAATAAGATTTTATAAGTTTAATTATTAATTGTTAAAATATTATTAAATATATTTTTAATTTTTTAGATTAATATTTTATAAATATTAAATAAAATAAATCAAAATATTATTAAAAGTATATAAAAGATTATTAATATAATAATAATAGATCAATTTTAATAATTATATATTTGATTATTGTATAATATAATTTTTTAATAGGATATTTTTATATAGAAAAATAAATAATATTATAATATATAAAAGATTTTGATCTATTTTTTTATTTGAATAATTTAATTTAATTTATTAAAAATATAATAATATATATGTTTTTATATTATATTATATTATGAAATAAATAAAAAGTTTAAATTTATTAAACACAATTTTTTGAAATTTTTTTATATTTACAAAAACTATAATTAAGTTAGTAAAAATGAAATTAGAAATATTATAATATATTTTATAATTTAACAGCTAATATACTGTAAATATTTAAATTTAATGTTTAACATTATAATTATATACGGTGTATATGTGATACTTGTACTTTATTTGTAATATGTTGAATGGTGATTGAAAAGTTATTATCTATCAATCAGTTGATTATTTTTTAAAATTAAGTATATTATAACAACATTTTTTTTAAAAAATAAATTTTGCTTTTTTAAGTAAAAATTATAATTTTTCTAAACGTACGACCGTTTGATATCTTACACTTTTAATTATGTAAGGGCATTTTTTAATCTACACACACGAATTTGATAAGTGATAAATATGTTTCGCGGTGAACATCAAACCACATCAAACCGATGATATAGGAATTATGTAATGGGTCAAAGAAATTATTAATCAAAGAAAAAAAAAATTGATATTACACAACAATGTGTTCCCAAAGTGTACAATATAATTAATTGAGTTCATTACCGAGCAATAAAGTGTGTTATACAGTTACAACATAATTTTTTAAACTATTTTTTTTTTTGTTATCCCACACACAATGGATCAGCTGCCTCGTAAATAAATAAGTATGCGACGAATATATAATAACAAATGCATCCGTTTATCGGAGTCTCTGACCAGATCTCATGACCATTTATGTACGTACAACAATGATAGAAATCGATAGGCACAGTGGTGAAAGGGAAAAAGGCATGACAGAATTAGGCTTTTGATTTATGTGTTTGCGATACCAGATTTTTTTTGCGCACTTATAATATATGTGTGTAATAGGATGAAAGATTCGATTGGATCCAGGTCACATTTGCGAAATTCGAAAAACAAGCAACGAAAATAAATATAACAGGGTCTAATATATATTGGTGCAAAAAAAACGGAAAAGCGATAGTCTTAAAGTTTTTTTTTATTATTTCTCAATTCCTGTCTCTCTCTTTATATCGAAGAAAATTTTCTGCATTACATCGTATGCTATGCAATGATTATTATTTAATGCCTGAACTTTTTAGTTTATATGTGATGAGTATTATACACTTTTCCAAACTCGCATAAACCCTTTTAGTCAATTTACACGTGGAACAAATTGTGGCTCAAAGTTCAGCGGTGGCGCAAGTTTGATAGTTATTAGAAATACATATATATGTTTGCTTGCGGATTCAAGTTTTTCAACTTTTATTACCATTCTATCTTGCTACGTATTTTTTAACACTTTCCAGCAAAAAAAAGTCATTCTTGTTTGTGTTACTTTTGATGTTTTATTTTCTCTTTAGAATATCCTTCATAATTGATTTTTCTTAAAAAAAAGAGAACCCTTTTAACAAATATTCAAGCTGGATTTACCGCGTTTGAGGCTACTCGTCATATCCATGAAATCTTCGGAACGCACGAGTCGTGAAAATTCGACCTGTCCCAACTCGAATTTCAAGAACACGATAGTAACGGTGACGGACACGAGGTCTTTCATGCCAACCACCATGTCCGATGCATTCAAAATATCAAAAAACAGTTTTGGTGTGCGTTCATGCACCCCGTTCGTCAAGAACATTGGTTATATTCCTCACAATTTAAAAAGTAAATTATTCTTTTTTCTTTACCGCAACTACCGATCTGTATCTTCTTATGGCTACGATATTTGAATTTTAGACTGATGCTTTTTCTGCTATCATCTTCTTTTTCCCAACCTTCAAGACCCCACAATTTTTGACTACAATTTTAAGGTAGAGATAATCGTGATTTACGACTTCCGTTGAGTCCATCGATCAATCCTTCTAATCTTTACTTCATTTTTCGCTCTCGTGTCATTAAAAGGTCTCAATCCCAGGATGGACGATCGTGGATGCTATGCTTGGATTTGATAGACATGCCTCTTACCAAATAGTATGCCGGGTAATTATTATCGCTATTTTGAGAAGATGACGCCATTACACTTTTTTTTTTTAAAAAAAAATAAGAAATCTCACTCATTGTCGATCATACATACGTTCAGTACTGGCTAAATGGAAGAGAGGTTAACAAGTTAATAGTTAACAAAAGGTACACTGATTTCTATTGGTTTCACCAAGGACTTGTACGCAAACATGGAGATTCTATTGTTCCCAAGTTGACCCCAAAGCAATGGCAAGGTAACATATTGAAAGAGAAAAATTTTTTTTTGTGAACTTGTCATTAATAAATTGACGTGAGCGAATATACGTTTAATAGGAAGATTCGAACCGAAGTTCATTGAGAAAAGACGCATAAATCTTGAATATTATCTTCGGAGTCTTGTAATGTCACACCGAGAAGAATTGATTTCGTTCTTGGATGGATGTAGAAAGGTATATATTTTGCAAAAGAATGAATATACCGTTTTTTAAAATATTGCAACATCTTAAAATGAGTATATGCGTAAAGGGTACGAAGGTAATAACTGACGGTGGCCCGCAATTCAAATCGGAATGCTTGAGAAACGTCAAAGTCAAGGATAATCCACCAATACGTAGTTGCCTTGCAGTAGGCACTACTCGATGTCGAATAAATAATCGAGTACATTTTGCTGACTGGGTTTTGAACAACGAAAAAGCATCAAGGAATCCAAATACCCGAGAACACGTATCACAGAATGAAAATATAAAGTATCACATGTGACTTTTGGAAGAAGGTATATATCGAATAATGAGTAGTACATTAAAAAAAAAAAAAAAGATAATTTATTTAATCCTAACTTAAATTAATGAATGGTGGTAGGCGTGGAGTGGAATGATGTGTTCACGATTTGATTTGTCTAGTTGTTCAAATGTACGTTTCCTCAGTGAATATAATCGGCGTTCTTTTCGACTCTTGATAGATGGGAATTTTTCATTATGGAATAATAGAGGTCTATTTATATAAGAAATAAGAGTGGGTATATCCGGAAAAAAAAAATAATTAATAAATAATAAAAAGAATAGTTATTTATCAGATAGCAAGGCATAGGTAAGTACGCGCCTAATAAATATACATCGTGAGCTACCTTATCTAAGTAAGCGTCATGTTTAAGAATACCATTCAGTCTTTGGTACAGGCTAAATTTAATGAAAACTCCCCGCGATAGAAAATTTTGTAAATAAACATGTACAGCCCTTACTGTATCGTAATTCTGTTTTTTTCGCAGGCCAAAATCTTGTTCTCAATTAAGGTGTGATAGAAACGAAAATGAGAGATGAAACAAGTTTACTTGCCGTTTAAAAAGATTTACATCAATTTGTGTGAAGAACTATTTTAGTAAATTTACTTTCCCTGGATCGAGACAGCAGATTCCATGCACAAAATTTCCCAAGGTTTTTTGATAAACCAGTTTTTGTGATACGACCTTGGTGAGCTTTTTCTCAAGGCCTTTCCACTTCAAGTTTTTCGCATTCGGCCTTTGAATATTTTCATTCGTCCGTGTGTAATAATGAAAGAGAAATGCGATGACGATTTTTATCAAAAGCTTCAAATATTATATGCTATGCTTGCTTATGTATTTATTAATTTAAGCACCAGGGTTCGAATTGTCTCTTCCCAATACGCGGTTACAACGAAGGTGCCAAGGAAATTGTGGTTTTATTTCTTCATATCAATCTATTTATACTTAACAGTACACCATCTATTGATTATTTAGGTTCCAAGGTTCAAGTTCAATGTGTTCAATTTTCTTGATTATTCAATTGATAATCATGTAGTCTAAGCAAATTTCTCTCCAACATGGCGATGGTAACCTTGCCCACCGACGGAACATAAATGCTGGCTTTCTCCTTAACATCATCCTCGAAATTTTTAAATGTCGAAAAGTTTATGGCGATCACCCCTTCTCGTAACAAAGATGTTGGAAGTTTATAGCCTGGTGATGGAACCCCGGTTATGACCACATCTGATATTGGGATGATGTCTTTGAGTTCGAGGTTTGTTTCGCGAACCTAGATTAATCAATTTCGAAGACGGTCAGCCAGAACTGGGTCCTCGGATATTGAATCTATGATCTCAAGTTTACCTGGTGTTGTTTAAGACGTAATCCGGTGCCACGATAAAATTCTTGAACACCGTTGATATCTACTGAATGCACCTTTCCACCGTCGTTTGCCAACAATGCGGCAAGAGGACGACCCACGATTTCGCTGCGATTCACGACAGTGATCACGCGACCATGTAATCGGTTTCCATATGGAAGAATGGCATTGTAAACCCCGATGTATTCCAGTACCTGCAATATATTCGGCATACATGCATATTGTATGTCATCAGAATTTACATTACATCCGTGGAATTGGTCAGATAAAGCCACTTACCTTGATTATAGCCAAAGGGGTACATGGGATGATGCATTTCTTGGTTTGTTCATTGTCGAGGAAACGGATGTTATGATACATGTTATATATGTACCGGTGGCACAATCCTTCGACGTCTTTGGTGGCATCGACCACATTTTGAAGATATTGATCCTACAATATCAAAAATAAAGTTTCCTTTAAATTCAATAGGATTCCCGGTTGTCACCTCCTCTCCCGCTTCGACATGATTACCTGACGGTCGCCAAATACTGGATAATAAATCATTATTCCGTGTACTTTTTCATCTCTGTTCGCCTCTACAATCCGATCTTCCAAATCCTCTCGTTCGCATTTCCTTAACTCAAACTCCACTCCAGTTTCGGCACACGTCTTCGCAGTGGACTCTGCGTATTTCACTGCCGCTGGATCTTTGTTGGCAAGGAAACCCACGAGTTTCGGACAAATTCCTTTCGCCTTTATCGTGTTTTTTATATCGTCTCTGTCAAAAGATTATTCATCGTTGTTGCAATGACCCGAGACGGTGATCATTCCGAGAATTTTCTTTAAAATTGAATAAATCGGGTTGGGTGCATACCTATAGCTTGCCGAAATTTCCTTGGCTAATACCGTTTTACAAGACATTTGTGATATTGTGATCTTTGATGTAAAGGAAGGAATTCACTCAAATTTCATGCACAAGTCATTCTCAATTATTATTTTTTTTTTAAAAGAAAAGGTTTCTTCTTACCTGCCAGAAGATTGTTTGGTTACGATGATCAAAAAATTTATATCGCACATTTGGGGAAAATGCCTTTTGATCAAAAACCTGATTGTTTGTCACACAAAACCATCTGATAAATATGTAGCAATCTGACACACAATTTGCCTTCTTTCGCCGGGACTGCTGCACGATGAAGAGCTTAACGTTACTCTCGGAAATAATTGTTCCTCGGTGTTTTCCGTACGACGAACGATCAAAGAGAACTTTCCACACAATAAATCCGGAGAGCGCCGATTTCTATTTCCTTCGTTTTTCAGATTCGTCGCTTTCGAATGTTGAGTTGGTGAAATGTTCTGAATTAGAGGTGAAGAAAGAAAATCCGTTCCCTGAATTCTAGGATTTCGACAGGTGTCTTTTATTTCCCTTGGTTCTGAAAGTTCTGTTCTATGTCACTTTGCCGGAATGCAGACCCTACTCCCGGACATGTCCGTCATTGCTTCTTTCCCAAATTCGGATCACACACAGGAATTGAATGAGATCGTCCGAGGATTGAAGTTCTTGATGGATACTCAGTCGATATGCATAGCCTTCGCAGGTGGTGACATCTTCATGGTATCCTTGGATGGATCGGTAAATATCTTCATCGATGGTTAATTGAGTCAAATTTGCGTACCTGCGTATATTACTTCTTTTATTAAACTCAAATTGGGATACTGTAGGTGGAAGTGATGGGGTCTGTCGATTCTCATATAAAGTGTATGGAATGGAGTCCGGATGAAGAAGTTGTTGTCTTCGTGACTGGTAAATGTTGACGAGATTTTGTTTGTCACGTGATTTATTACGTCTCGCTAGATGGGGGCTGTGATAATTAGGGAATGACACGATCCTCGAAATGACCAAGGATTTTGATGTTATTACCGAGTTCCCAATCAATGTTGAAGAATTGGGTGAAGGTAACGCATATATTTTGTTTGGCATGCTATGATCTGCTTTATGACGGACGGACTGATTGATTGCATGTTATTTTTGCTAGCTGTGAGTATTAGTGTCGGATGGGGCAAGAAAGAGACTCAATTTCACGGATCAGAAGGCAAACTCGCTGCGCAAAGAATAATTGATGTATCCAACTTTACCCTCTCCGAAGATGACGACACCAAAACCAGAGTGTCTTGGTGTGGTGATGGAAGCATGTTTTGTTGTTCGGCAATTGATTCAAATCGAGGTCGCTAAATCATATCTACCATTTTTGTTTGTTTCATGGAAAATTTAATTGAGAATTGTTATCTTCTCTAGAACTCCGGGTAATTAGAGTATACAACAGAGAGGGCGTGTTGCAATCAACCAGCGAACCTGTAGACGGATTAGGGCATATCCTATCATGGAGGTATGTCCACACTTTGGTTCTATTACCGGCTCCTGGTAGTATTATTACTGGGCTTCATACTTTAATCACATTGTATTAACATCTATCATTACTGACACCCTCCATGTTAATCACGCGCACTTTTGTGAATAAATTTAATTAGGCCAGCTGGAAATCTGATCGCTTCAAGTCAAAAATTTTCTGATAAGCAGGAAATAATCTTCTTTGAGAAAAATGGTTTGAGGCATGGTGAATTCACTCTCAGAGAAACCTTGAAACATAAGGTAAATTTTATGGACTTTATAAGGTCAGATCGATATATCCATTGCATGGTGCATAATGCGATTGCATTTCATGTAGATCATTGAAATATTATGGAATTGCGATTCTACGGTGCTCGCGGTGTGGTTGGAAAGGGGCTCATTGGAAACCGAAAAGTCATCGTGTGGTTGGTTGTGAAATTCTAGTCTCTGATCGAACTCTAGAATGGCTGTTACACGCTAAGCTTATTTAATTCTTAGTGCAATTGTGGAATGCGAATAATTATCATTGGTATTTGAAGCAAGAAATCTTGATGAAAACGGACGATTTCATTACCAGTTTTTCGTGGGACCCCGAAACTGCTTTAAGGTTATATTTAACCACTCAAAGTAAATGAGACTTTATTAATTTGTGCAAGTATCACTAGGACATTTTTTAGTTTCTTTCATACACGATTTTTCATGGTCTTGCGTAATCTTTCCGCAGGAAAATGTCATAGGCTTGATTTTGCTTGGGACAACTTATATTCCAACTTGATTGATAAGAAAAATGCCGCTGCTGTGGCTGTTGTTGACGGATGTATCCTTTCTTTTGAGTATGTCGGAGGGGATCGCAACGAGATGTGAATATGGGGAGATCATCCTTGAAGCTCATCTTTTTCTTATTATTTCCTTGACGTTGACCTTCTTTCCGCATTATAGCCTCAGTTTGCCTTACGCCATTCAGAACCATGAATGTTCCACCACCGATGTTTGCATTCTCGTTACGACTGGACTCTCCAGTTTCACATGTGTCGTTTTCTCCCAACAATGGTGGTAATGATTTCGCTGTTCTTCAAGCTAATCAGGATATTGCATTTTTCGATTGGCGCGGGGCAATGGAGAAACCTGCAAAGCCTCCAACTCTGATGGGATCAATTAATATGAAGTGTGTATTGTTGAGACACGAAATACTGTGCTCCTTCAAATGTGTGTGATCATAAACTATTTTTTTTTGCAAAAGATTTTTAGACTCCAAGAATGAGGAATCCATAAGGCAGATCGCGTGGATAGACAAAGGAACTTTACTTTTTTTGCAGTTTAATTCTGTAAATGGATCAGATGACGTTTGCCAAATAGACGTTAACCTCGAAAAAGGTTGCGATCAGAAAATTGATGACTCAAGGCGCTTGAGCAATGTGTTCATGGTGAAAAGATTGCACTGGGATCACACGCACAAGATGATGCACTTGGTTTCAGGCGATGGGATGGTGTTGGAGGGTACGTTGTGCCTTCACATCTATATAGAAATGGACAACAATCTGTTCCTTATGTCTTCATCATTTCATTATCTTTGTTGTTAGTGGAACTAAAATCAGAATCATCCGGTGGTAGCCATCTCGCTATCACCGACTCACAATTGGTGAGATTTCCGGAACCCTGCACTTGGGTTGGATCGACTAAAATAGGGGCAGAAGAACGCGTCGAGGTATTTTCTTTAATACCTCCATGCGAAATTCATTAGCGGGATTTCATTATGCGATCCGTTGAAATCTTTTAAATAGAAAATTGTATTAGGCTTAAGCGAGAGCAACAAATTATATGCGTGTAACAAGTTGATTTCTTCCGATTGCACCTCGTTCTTCATTCATAACGATTTTCTTATATTCACCACGATGAGTCATATGTTGAAGTTTCTGACGCTTCGTGTGAGCCTCTCGGGTATTTAAAATCTGGCATCAATATAAAGCGTAATTTTTAAGTCTTGTAATATTTTGATCGATTTTTATCTATATTTTTTGGATTAGATCTCAAAGTTCCGGTAAATACTCATGATGAAACTGTTCGTGAGGTTGAGAGGGGTTCGAAAATTGTTTGTGCAATATACTATGATGCCTCAGTAATCTTGCAGGTATTTGTCTAGTGTGCATTATGACTTTTCCCAACTGTGTAAATTTAATGAATTTCGAATTTCTAGATGCCGAGGGGAAATCTTGAAACGATAAGTCCCCGAGCATTATTATTGGAATCCGTGCGCGAATCTCTTGATCGGTATAATGATTGCACCCATCTCGTAGGTATTTTCGTGCTGATTGAAATTAACACGAGCCTTTTACCACATCGACAGGCTGGACTATAAATCTGCTTATATCACATGCCGAAAACACCGTATCGATCTGAATATATTGTGTGACCATGCGCCTCAATCATTTTTAACTAACGTCCGGTCGTTTGTTTTTCAAGTGGAGAAAGTTGATTATTTGAATTTGTTTTTGTCAAGTTTGAGGTATTTGCTCGAATGATTCATCATGCGGTTTGTACGTTTCCAAATAATGGATTTAATCACCATACAGAAATGAGGATGTGACATCGACAATGTATCTCCAGACCAACAAAATAAGGATCTTGGGAGACGATAGTAATAGGTAGCTCCCGAAATTTTAGTACGATATTTCTCTTGATTGTAATCTTAACAAATGATGCTTTTTTTTTTTTCATAAGTACTTGGGATACATCATTTAAAATCAATACAGTATGTGATGCGGTTCGAGAAGTGCTCGGGACTTTAGATACGAAGACGTACCTCCAATCGATAATAATGACATATATTCGCCGAACTCCACCAGATCTGGAATCTGCGCTAGGCTTGCTTGCGAAAATCAAAGGTTTGTATGTTTGCGTGGACTTCTTTATAACGATGAATGATCCCAAGTTTTGAATTATCCGTTTAGACCAGGACCCGAACTTAGCCGAGGACGCAATCAAATTTACAATATTCTTGGTTGACGCGGACCGACTATTCGATGTCGCTTTAGGAATGTACGATTTTAATCTTGTGTTAATGGTTGCCCAACAATCTCAGAAGGTAAATTGCAGAATGATTATCTTTATTACTTTGTTTCATGCGTCTGAGTGCAGAGATTTTTAGGATCCACGAGAATATCTTACTTTTCTGGCCAATCTTGAAAGTTACCCGACTAATTATCAAAGGTTTAAAATTGATGATCACCTACATCGATACGAGAAAGCATTGCATAACTTGAGCCTGTCAGGTAATTCGTATTTCTCTTTTGAGATGAATTCTTGTTCGTCTAAAATAATGTTGGTTTCTGTTTTCGTTCTTTTTCCTTATTTAGGCGATGAACATTTCGAGGAATGTTTGAAATATACCATTGATCATGCTTTATATAAGTCAGCAATTTCAATATTCACAAATAATCGAGAAAAATACAAGGTTTGCTTTCAATGAAAGGACAAGTAGTGGCCATGCGTACTTATTCACTCATCCACTCATTCGTTCAATTTATTTAACGGTTCGTAGAGAGCTATTTTAATATATGGAGATTATCTCTCTACGGAATCAAACTTCAAGGAAGCTGGTTTAGGTTTGAATACTCTTATATGTCGGGCGTAATGAGTTCAATGTGATTAAACTCATAATTTCAATAAGTTCAATGGCCAATTTCCTTTTTTCTCAGCTTACTCATTGGCCGGGGATAAGCAAAAGGCACTTGAATCGTACAAAAATTCCGGATCATGGCGTGAAGCTTTTTCGATCGCTCATGAGTTGAACTATTCGTCGGATGCATTACTGGAATTGGCCAACAATCTTGCTGGTTTGTTGAATAATATTACTTGGTTAGGCACGTTCAGTGATATTGTTGTAAATTGTTATTATTACTTTTTATGTTTCGTCATTGTAGAATCATTGTCAGATAAAAGACAATATCACGAGGCAGCCCAGATAATACTGGATTATGCTAAAGTTGGTGATTTTTGGCTTGATAATTGATACTATTTATTTTTTCTAATAATAAACACCCTATTATTCGTTTTAAGCAACCCGAAGAAGCGATAGAATTGCTAAACAAAGGTCGTTATTGGAATGAGGCTATGCGTATTGTCAGTAGATCATTCATTCTTTGAATTCAATTCCGCTTGTTTTTATTCACTTCAATGACACGATATTCTTTTACCCTAAAGTCTTATATGTATAACAGGTCGGACTTAATCCAAACTAATGTCAAGCCAAGTGTAATTGAAGGTATGAAATCTGGGAAACCTTGGTTGACGGAATAAATTTGCGATTCATATCGAACATTTGCACTTCTAGGATATACCCAATCACTTCAAGACGTGAACTCAATGTTGGACCAATTGAATCAACAAATATCCAGACTGAGAGAGATTAGAATAAATAAGAACAAAAAGCCGCTAGGTATTACAACCTATTAGGAATTTGTTGTTTCAAGTTCATTTACGTATTATTGTTATTTTTTAAAAAAAGATTCGGAACTCTTTCACGACGAAGCAATAGAAAACGTTGATGTATTTTCTGATACAAGTTCTATGGCCAGTGGATTCACACGTTACACTCAATCCAACACCCAATTAAGCGTACATTCTAATAGAAGCGGGTTTGTATGAGATTAATGTTGATCTTTGAGAGTGAATTTTGGTATCAACAAGATTTTTTGTTTGTCACTGCAATAATTATCTGACAGAAAAAGCGCAAAAAGTCGTCGACGAGCGGAAAGGAAAAAAGCTCGTGGGAAAAAAGGAAGTATTTACGAGGAAGAATACCTCATTGATTCCTTGAGAAGGTTGATCGAACGGTTCAATGCTACTCAAGGTAAGGCTTGCATTTCTGCGATTGTTTTGTGCGCATTATTTCTTTTCATCCTTTAATTTTATTTGCAATAGCGGAAATATCGAATTTGTTAAATTGTCTCGTAAACTTGGGAATTGTGAAAAATGCCCAACAAATTCAATCCCTTTTCTATAAATTGGAAGAATTGATAAAAAAGAGTATCGACGAAATATTCGATATTCCGTTGACTATCAATGTATCAGCTATAGAGGTATTTTGGAGAATCTTTTAAAATCAGAGATCCTACTTTAATATATATATGACTGAGCTTCTCTAATTAGGATGATGCGGAGATCGATCATGTCAAACCGCCAACCCTCAAAGTAATCGAAAAGCCAAAGATAATCGAAACAAATTGGAAATTGCAAATCATATAATTTATATGAAAGCTTGCATCTGAATCATCTGAGATTTACCAACATTTTATGTTGGATAATATTTCTACTTACGCATTTTTTTCATGACACTTCCACCTGCGTCGATTTTGTTAATGATCAAAGATTAGACTTAGGCAAGCGCAATACGATCTATCGTAGATCCCTTTAGTCTATCGGAAAAAGATGTACTGAAAAGCTCAATAGATCGACAAGTGATCTTATTTGAATATAATCAAAATCATTTAAATCAGTTTTGCAATTTTTTATTCTATACGCCTGTGATTCATTACTTATGCTGATTATTTGTCGCGTTGAAAATATTATTTATGGCATGCCACATACTGTACTTCATAATTAATGATGAATTCTATTGGTTACGTTATATTATTCTAAATCTTTTTTTTATACAATAAAAGAAAAATCACAATTACTGTAAATACGACATCCCTGTCTAAATTACCAGAAATCGTTAATAACATATAGTAAAAATTGAATTTTCGTTTTGTATATAAAAATAAAGGTATTCTATTGTGGTTTATTATGATTAAATGTAAATTTATTAATAAAAGATATAACATTTAACAATAAAAATTAAATATTTGACAAAAAAAATTTATAGTATCTGATAATTAATTACTTTAAAATTTGACAAAATTATTTGATATTATATATTTAAAGAAAATTATAAAATTATAATTTACAAAAATTTAATTTATTATTATATTTATAATAATATTTGATAAATTGTAATTAATACTTGATAAATAAATCTATTAAAACATATTTTAAAAATATATAAAATATACAGTATATAATTTAATCTAATTATTTGTTAAATTCTTTCTTTATTTCTTTTCTTATATTTCTTTTTTTTTCTTTTGTTAATTTTATCAATAAAAATTGTATTTTGTGATTAATTAGTTAAGAAATCTTTGGCTAGTTCTATAGGTTTGGATTTAATTTTAAATATTATAGCAAAGAAGTTTTGATTCTATTTTATTTCAATAAATAAAAAGATATTTATTGTATTGTATTAAGATTTCTAGATAAGATTATATATTTAAAGTGAAGTTTTTATTAATACTTTGACTTATTTGTTAGAGTCTATTATAAAAAAATATATTGTTAGTAATATTATATATAAGTTCTATTACTTGTTATGAATTGATTATTGATTTTTAATTATTATTAAATTAAAAAATATAATTGATTAAGTCTATTATTTAAATAGTTCTAAAAATTGAAATTAAACAGACTTGTATAAATTTGCATAAGGTTTAAAACATTATTAAAAATAATAATAAGTTATAATCTATATATTAAATTTAATATAAATCTGAAAATCAAGAATTGAATTGAATTAAATTATTAGATTTCTTAATTATTAAATTAATTTTTTTAGTTGTTTATTATTATTATTATTATTAAATACTAATATAGATCTTGTTTAGCAAACTTTATTAAGATTAATATTTACATATATTCATATATATTACTATATAGAACTATGCTATAACATTAATT